GATTATCAACGCCTCAATCTACTCAAGACTCTATAAAAATGTTAAACACCAAATAGTCTTAATAATTTCACGTTCAACCTATAGTGAATAGGTATTTCCAGCCACAGATATTAGTACAGGTGCTAATAATTTTGTATCCCAACCACAGATTTTTATTTTCCTCTACGTCAGCATGTGTGGCCAGAAATCTGTGGATAACTTCACGCCAATTATACACAATACAATAAATGAAAGAGGTGACATTTCGCTTGGCCCAAGACACTTGCCATATCAGCTCTTCAGTACCAAATCTGAATAACATTATAAGAAAAAATTACGACTTTATATATCACACAATGAGTTTAATCTACTGATGTCATCGATGACAGTACGTTATGCCACTCTTCTTCGTCTCTTTTTTCCCCTTCAGCGTTATTCATTCGCTTATTTGATTAAATCCCAGCCATGGGAATCTTATTTAAATTGAAAGGGTTATATTCTAGGAGAAAGTTATATTCGAGAAAGAAAGATTTTGGTTTTCTACCCCTCCAGAGTCCAGTTTGCGTCTTTCTTGAAAGATTCCCACTTTTTTTGTTTCAAGATGGAGAAGTAGAATGCTTCCTTTCGTGTTAGGAATCACAGGAATCACACGATGAAAGGTAAGACCTCGTTAACCTCAGCTCGCACAGGTTTCGACTTTTGAGAGTTGCCGTTCGTAGGAAAAAACAAATTTTAACAGACAGATTCTTTGAGAGATTCCTACATTGCATCTAGATTTCTGTTAAAACTCTTTGTTCAGACTCCTGTATTTATAAATAAATGAATGTGTAGGACCGTTATATAAAAACTAGAACACAAATCTCATAAATAATATCGCAGGTAACCTTGTTAAATTATACCAGTATATGTGTTTTATTTGCGTCTGCAATTGTTAGTTTTTATACCAGGCTTTATTTCATGAGACAGCTATAAAATAGAAACTTATTTTCAAGACGTTGATAATAATGAAAGTCTATGGAACCATCTTGAGTGAAATAAAATACATTAAAAAAATTAGAATAAGTTAATTGTTTTGTGCAAATTTTTCTGGTTCAGTGATTTTGGAACCTTCAACTGAATATTGTTTCTGCCTCAAGTTTATGAGTTACTATAGTACACGCTACATTTTGAATACGTACTTATTAGAATTATATAGAGATTTTGATGATATTGTCTTATTCAAAAATTTAGAAAACTGTATTGTATATATTCCATGTTATCCAGNAGTCGAATCTGCTCATGAACAGGTCTGCCAGGTAGGGGGACAAGGGGTTTCCCATGGCCGTTCCTTCCTATTGTTCATAAAAGCAACCTTCTACCCGGAAACGATTTTGTTTTAATCTTCCTCTTTGAAGATGATCATTTTGTGATCGAAACACGTATCGAGATGTTGAAAATAACGATTTGGTCTTGAAAAAAACTCTAGTAATATTCATTTCTACACCAGAGTTTCCAAACAGTGCATCATAAGTGCTCTTGCTAGTACGTACAAACCGATTAATCGGATATGACTAAATTTCTTCAACCATTCCAGTTCAACATCTCGGAGACATAGCAGTACCATCGCAGTACCAAATTCCTCTATCAATCAACCCCCAATCCCCACCCCTCAGCAACCCCCACAACATACGGACCAGGGCCATCACCGCCCAACTCAAGAAGGTTTGGGACCACGGGGTCATACCCTACGAATACGATAGTAACTTCGACGGGGTCAACAAGGCACTCTTCAACCAGGCCATGAAACACTGGGAGAATCATACGTGCATCAAATTCGTGGAGAGAAATAAGGAGGAACATCCAAATTATATTATTTTCACGGAGAGGCCTTGTGGGTATGTGGTACAGTCATTAAAGTATATTAATATGGTATTTTTACGTTTTCACTTGTAGATTCGACCATAATTGATCACCCTGTAGATTTAACGCTGCTCAATTTCACTGACTAATGAAACCCAGTAGTTGCAGAGACTCAATAATTATGGAATTCATGTGTAGATTGAAGTATAGAGATTTGTCAAAGACAGAACCTGGGTCACGAGCTTCTCATTAAATTAATTCAGTGGCTACTTTCTTTCTAGAGAAAACCATGCAGTTAAATTTTCTCATCATCGAAGCTATTTCATTATTACTTATTACACCAGAACCACAATGCATCAAGATTTTTCCGAAGTTTCCTGCAGTCATGAGAATCAACTTTTCCCTTGTGAAGTTCAAGATCATCCACAAACGACATGAAACTAGCTTATTTCATTACGTTATACAAGTCAATAACGTACAAATTGAATAATAATGGACAAAGACGTGATCCCTGTGGTAGTCCTGATACGACCTTGATGGAATGTGATGTAAGATTCTTCCAGCGTACAATTTGTATTCTATAAAGCGGGTAGCTCTTCATTCAACGTGTCAGATTATCTGAAAATCCAAAATTATCTAATTTGCCTTTCAATAGGTGGCGATTCACTTGGTCTAACTTCATTGGAGCATTCCTTGTTAAGATACAGATAAATGGGGTACATAAAATTTGTATAACAATTTTTTTCACAAGCACTGAAAAAGTTACAATATTGAAATTAACCTAACGTTTTGTACTACCAAAAAGACACTTAGCCAGTAATTTATTTGTTCTACCCCATGGTTGTAAGGGGTGGAAAACGCAACCTCTAAAATTTATTTCCAATGTAACTTTTTGTCTTATTATTTGTTTACCATTTGAAAATTAATTTCTGGATTTATTGTTATTTTGTAGTTAGTACCTGCATTAAACGATTAAAGAGTAATAAACAAAACTAATTCATTAATAACAAAACACACAACATCTAGAAATCATAATAAATGTTCAATATATCTACCTTCAGACATTACGCATGCGTCCAGACGTCGGCGCATTGAGCTACGTATTCGCTCAAATATTCCTGGAGTCTCTCTGATTACCCTGCACGCATCGATGATGCGGTTTCTTAAGTCCTCTGCATCGCGAACAGGAGTAGGATAAACCAAATGCTGTAAATGGCCCCAAATAGAGAAATCGAGAGGATTGAGATCCGGGGATCGAGCGGGCCAGTTCTTTGGTCCTCCTCGACCTATCCACTGATTTGCATATGTTTCAGTTAAATGTTGACGTGCTACTTGACTAAAATGGGTGGGAGCCTCATCATGCATAAAAAACATATCCCTTCTGACGCCCAAAGGACCAAACCCATTCCCGTGCGACAGACCGTTAACGTAATGCATATCAGCCATTTCCTCATTTGTGTATGCCATTTTAATAACAAGTGGATCATTAAAGTAACAAATTAAGAACAGAACAACAACACACAATTACTATCAATTCAATTCCGAAAATTCACAAACTGACAGCGTCATACCAATTCAATTGTCACTATCGCTAATAACGACCTACTAGATAGATTAGTTTCGTATTTTCGCATTTATGACGATGTATCTCTGTAGTTGTTCATAAAATAATTTTTTGCTGCGAACTGGTTTATTTTGGGCAAAAAACCCAAGAGACATTTTTTATTCAGAATGAAACAGGCAATCGGAAATAAATTTTTAAATGGTAAACGAAAGGTAAGACACAAAAGTTACATTGGAAATAAATTTTAGGGGTTGCGTTTTCCACCCCTTACAACCATGGGGTAAACCAAATAAATTTCTGGCTGAGTTTCTTTTTGGTAGTACACAACATCAGGTCAATTTCAATATCGTAACTTTTTTAGTGCTTGTTATGCAAATTTCATGTACCCCCTTCAAGGCTGTATCTTAACAAGGGATGGTCCAATGAAGTTTCTTTATATGAAAGATCCTATCTTTTTTCCGATGAGGAATCACCGCCTTGAATGTTTAACACTTAGTTAGTTACACCCTGTATACTGGTGCACTTTCTTTGGTGAAAAGTCTTATATCTGACACAGAAGTCCATCAAGTTGAAGTTTCGTGGATATTTTGAACTCCACAATCTTCAAATCTCATTTAGGAAGTATCGAATTCTAAAATTTTCGTTGGTTTTGCCTCCCACTGTTAATCATGTATATATTTTCCTGATACAGAGAAGTAACAAATAAATTTCTCCACAGGTGCTGTTCTTTCGTTGGCAAAAGAGGCAATGGTGCTCAAGCGGTGAGCATAGGAAAAAACTGTGATAAATTTGGGATACTGCTTCATGAATTGGGGCACGTGGTTGGATTTTGGCATGAACATGCTCGACCTGATAGAGATGCACATGTCAACGTCATCTGGGAACATATTATTAGTGGTAGGTTAGAATCCTTTGAATCATTTGTGGATGAACCCCAAGGTTCAATTTTGAGCCCAGACTCCTGGAAGTATCTATAGTAGGAGAAAGTGTCTTTCAGTTCAAAAACTCTCAAAGATATTTGTCAACCTGCCATAGCTGGAATAATAATAATCTACTGATATTTCAGGACAGGAAACAAATTTTAAGAAACTCACTGAAGACGAGGTGAATCCTTTGGGGGTGAAGTACGACTTTGCCTCCATCATGCATTATGCCAGGAATACATTTTCGAAGGATCCTTATCTGGATACCATTAGACCCATTGAAATTCCAGGTAGAAAAACTCCAGAAATCGGCCAGCGGCTGAGGTTGAGTAAGGGAGACATTCAACAGACCAATCGTCTGTATAAATGCCCAGGTGAGGATAAAATTTAGAAATACCTCGAGTATGAGACTCAGGCCTACTTCGAAATGCAACTCCTCTTCGAATCTGTTTCAGCTTGCGGACGCACATTACAGAGCAAATCCGGAAAGTTTTCACCTCCAATTTTCAGGTTAGGATCACCAGATGGCGTGAGATGCCAATGGAGAATCTCGGCATCTCATGGTGAGACGATTAAGCTCAATATCTCCCACCTCCGCATCGAGAAGTCTTTGGATTGTCGTAATAGCTATTTGGAGGTTAGAGACGGGTATTGGAACAAATCACCGCTGCTCGGCTTATTTTGTGGCACGGGAAAGCATTTCGATTTGACGTCGACTGGAAGTAGAATGTTGGTCAATTATTTTTCGAAGAATCCTAAGAGCCACAAAGCTTTTGTCGCTACTTACAAAGGTGAGAATCATTTAAACCTAGATGGTCTATGTTTCATAGAAAAATCGAGGATCTGAAATGAAAAGTACCACGTTCAATTTTTGATCTTTATTTGCTGTATGTAGTACATTGTAGTTTATGTCGAAGTTGTGGTTGTTTTCCAACAGATCGCTTGCATCAGTTGAATTGGTTTTCTTTAGTTAATTTTGTTTGTGTTCGGCGATTCTGGTTTTGAAGTTTCTAGAGGTTTTTCCAACATACATTTATGGGCACGAGCCACTTTTCAGCTTGTAGACTCCCGATATGTTGTTTTCCTAGATATAGAATATATTGTTTTTTATACACTGTGACCCATTTTTAATGGAAACACCCCCCTAAAATTTGATAATAAACGTTTCTTTCCGATGTTTATTGCCAAATAAAAATTGTGAAAAATTGATATAATGAAAATAATTAAACTCACTTGACCTAACCCTTCTGGACTTTACATCGTGAGGCTTCATTGAAGATGAAGTATTCGGCTCAAATTCTGGCAATATTGACGAATCGAAAGAAATAATAAGGCTTGCTTCAGGTTGTAGACCCAAAAAATACGATACAGTGATGATGAGAAAAGCGTCAAGAAACACATGTATTGTTATACATAGCTGAAAATATTTTTACAGTGGCTACAAAAATCGATGAAAAAATTAGAAGTCCGTTTTTGAAAAAATAAAGTTGATGAAATCTAATGAACGAAACGTCGCATTGCAAATTGTTCAAATTGGATAATAACACATATAAAACAGTATAGAAAGTTTCTGTGCTTTTTTTATATCATTCGAAATGGGGGCGGTAGAGCCAAAAAACGAAATTGGACAATTCTAGTTTTTGGCGAATATTTTAAAAACAACCACTAATACTTCTGTTCAGAAAAAAAGTTCTAGTTCCCCAGAAAATTTTTGTCCATTTTAAATGACTTTGTGGGTCTAATCGTTTACGAAACAGCAATAGTGGAATTAGCTTAAAAAATGGACTGTAATTATTACTCATGTACAACTTGTGAAGAAATTATCAAAATCACATTATTTTAAATCAATGAATAGAAAACGTAATGTCTGAAGTTCCCTTTACGGTAATTGCTATGTTAACCAAAAGTAGACAATACTAAAGAAAATCTCTTAATTGAACTCCATTCGTGTATCTATTGGAAAAAAAGAAGTAGAGATTACATGCGTATCTCGAGTTATAGAAAGTGGTGACATTGTTTCTACAGGATGTCACATCTTCACTATCTTATTTATTTATTTATATCATACACTATTCTACAGGATGAACCCAATTGCAGAAGTACAAATATGTACTTACATAATATAATTTGTGAATCTATATTAAAAAAAATCAAAAACAGAACTGTCCGTTAGCTAAGAAATGTCTTTTGATTTGTATAATCTGGCAGTTGAATATATCTAAGACATGACTAACAGAATTAGAGGTATCGCACATTGTATAAATTGAAGATTTTTTCATTATATTTGTACGCGGAGTGTTGAGATAAAATGTGACACTATTCCTAGATGACTGTCTAGGAACCAAAAAATTCAACATATGTAACAGTTGAGAGCAGATGATGATAGATATTATTTTACATATATAATCGAGATGATTGCCAAAAAGTAATAAATTATCTAACTGGAGTCCAAGACATAATTTCAATGTTTTCATTATATATTTGTAGATTTATTTCATTTAAATCAAGGTTGTTCCATTTATATTTTGTTGTAATAATCATTTCTTTAAATTTCATGAGGAACTCATTTACATCCTTTAATGCTGCATTCATTTTATAAATAGCTTTAGCTAAGCTTGTATAGTAGCATGCCAATAGCGAATCATCTGCAAATGAATTCACAAAATCAACATTTATGAACAAGTTTATGTCATTCAAGTATAAGATAAAATGCAGAGGTCCTGAAACGCTACCCTGAGGCACACCTATATGTATATCCAATTCCTGTGAGATATTATCTTGAACTATGACTTTTTGCTTTCAATGGTAGTTTCATGTATTTACACTTTTTTTATGTTGTACATGTGAACTTTAGTGATGAATAAACTTCTTTTCTATTCTAATGATTGTAGGTAAAAGTACGCTTTTATTTACCTAAGGATAGTCCAGGTAAACATATCAGGAAAAGTATTACTTATTAGATTCATGTCAAAAAAAATATTAGGAATGGTATTAAAAATTACCTCACTAGAGTATACTCAGTTCAAGTTTACATTATGAATGGATTAACTCAAAATTCAATAATTGTATCATGTTGATAAAACAGTATTTCTAATGCAAAAAGTAGTTATTTTCGGAAAAATGAGTCAAGTGTAAGTGATATTTGCCTGTTAGTTTCTCGTCGAGCTGTAGCTGCAGTTTTCTCTTCGACCAGGAACGTGACAGACTTGGAGCACGTACTTTTCTAATTTTTAAAATGGACTTAGACTATCTTGTGGACGTAGACAATAACATTTATCGAACTGGACGAATGAAAAACCCACCATTCGGTATATTAACTGAGAATCTATTCCGTAAGGCAATCAGAGACAGAAGTCCTTGTTTTCCCCTCTTTAATGATCCCAAACAAGTTCTGTAGAAGCTCTTCAGCAGAAAAACTCGCGTGAAAAGTCTCCAATACTGAAACCCTGAAAAAATAATTTCCATAATGGAAATTCATTCAAAAGTTTGACTACTGAAATTCAGATATTTTCATTATTTCAGTTGCTTGCGGTGGAACCCTCAACGTTACGAATGGCACCATCACATCCCCGTCTTTCCCTGATTACTACCCCCAGAGTAAGAAATGCATCTGGGAGATAGTGGTTCAATCTCCAAACAAGATAACAATCAACTTCACCCACTTCGATTTGGAGGGCAACGCCAACACAAGAGACCAGTGCGAGTATGACAGAGTGGAGGTCTACAGCAAGTTGAAAAACGGTTTGGTGAAGAAGCACGGAACATTCTGTGGTCCTCAAGTACCGGAGATGATCACCTCTGAAGGAAATGTCATGAGGATAGAGTTCCACTCTGACGGTACCGTACAGAAAACTGGATTTGCAGCGTTGTTTTTTACGGGTATGTTCATTATCGAGTACGACAATTTGGTGTTATCAAAAGATGATATGCACTGATTCTCCTACTCTTACTTCGTTTGTTTTTTTTAACAGAGTGAACCCCTCACTTTTACAATCAGCATAATCAGGAGATGATATAAACCAGTTTATATCATTTTACGCTGGTGGTTTCAGTATTAGGTCGCAATTTTCACTATTTACACTCAATACTATAGAGAATGAACTGGTTCATCTGTGAATTTTGAGTGTTAAACAATATAATAGTAGTTACAGAAATGAAACAGGGGATATACTGCAGAAAACAGTAGATCTGGCAACACTGAAAACGGAGTTCCTATAGTGCGATTTTTTCTTCATATATAGTTGATTGATTCGCAATATTTTGCAGTATGATTGTATTACTGATTCGTTGGGAAATATTTTATCAACCTGCTCTAGGAACTGTAAATAACACTCAGTTATGCGCACAGAATCCCTAATTTCATAACCTCAATTGCCTACTCTTGCCAACTATCATAACCTAACAAACCGAAACGATATCAATTTGTTCAACATTCAGTTCAACTGACAGTATTTGCGACATTGTTTTATATCAAGGATAAGCTTTATTGTCTAAAAGTTTACATTTTGTTGTGTGAATTCTTTAACTATATGAATTAATTAAATACCGTATTAAGTACCGTAAAGATACTTAACTTCACTTACCTGGAAATAAACAGATTCGATAATAGCAAATTATTCAGTTCAGTTTGATCGTTCATGAGATACTGAGAGTTTTTGAATTTGTTTATTTCCATACCCTACAACAGGTTAAGTTTCATACCTTCCTTCTGAAAATGAATGAACTCATGGTTGAACTCATGCCCCTCTGTTATTGAATGAGTGGCATATGTGGAATTTATTTTTCCATTCTGGAAACTATTTATGTGCTCTTTTATGCGGACTTCGAACGTTATTCCACTTTGACCTATATAAATCATCAGACATGATAATTTATACACTCCCGATTTTTCTGAAACTGAACTTTCATCTTTGTTATTATCATTGTGCAGGCCTGAACTGTTGTTGGTTTCGAAATCAAAATTTACATCTTGGTTGTGCAGAAAAGCTGAAATATTCGTAGTGGATTGGCCTAAGTAGGTTGAGGTTCTATAATTCTTATCATCTCTTCGACTCGGGTCAACTTCCTTCAAAGCTTGGCCGTATAACTTTGATAATAGAGAATGTATCAGACTGCTATCGTAATTAATTAGCCTTCAATAATGATTGTAATTCAGAAGTAACTTTTATTTTACGCTTGAGAAGGCTATTGTATAGTCGTTCAAAAAATAATAGGGGAGGGAGGCATTAAAGAAATGCACTGTATAAAAAACTGTAATAATTACTTTCAACTTTTGTTTTTCACTGAATTGTAAATATCAGTTTTTTAATGATTTTCTCGATAACGAAAAGTTTTTTTCCAGATAAAGACGAGTGCGCTACCAACAAAGGGGGTTGCCACCACGAATGCATCAACACCCCCAGTTCATACCGCTGCACCTGCCTTCAGGGATACATCCTCCTCGAGAACGGAATCGACTGCAAGGAAAGTGACTGCAAATACGAAATATCCACCGCCAGCGGCAAAATAACCAGCCCCAACTTCCCGGGGCGCTACCCCGCGAAGAAAGACTGTACGTGGCTCTTTACCACAACCCCCGGACACAGAGTAGCGGTCGAATTCGACTTCTTCGAGCTGGAGTCCCACCAGGAGTGTTTCTATGACCACGCGGACTTCTACGACGGGCCCTCCTCCGAGGAGTACCTCCTCGGCAGCTTCTGTGGCTCCAAACGGCCGGATGCTGTGATAAGCTCCACCAACAAGATGCTGATGACTTTTACTTCAGACTCGTCGACGCAAAGGGGTGGGTTTGTGGCGAGGCACACCACGGTGTGTGGGGGTATGCTGATAGCCACTGCTGAACAGCAGTTTATATACTCCCACGCTGAGTATGGTACTGTGGGGTACGACAACGTGATAGACTGCGAGTGGATGATAGAAGCCATGGGGGGAGATCATATCCGGCTGACTTTTATGACGTTTGATATCGAGGGGGAGGCGAATTGCGGCTATGATTACGTGGAGGTTTTCAGCGGATTGGATCGTGGGGGTCCTTCTTATGGTCGGTTTTGTGGAACGACGGTAAGTCTTATGTTTGATAATGTATAGTTCCCAAGTAAATTCCCTTGTTCTTATAAATTGAAGAATACAGTGATTTTTCTGTTCGGCAGAAACTAGCCACGCGATATGGTGAAAAATGAGGTATTAAAATACACCACAATAATTCACTTCCATTATCAATAGAGTTTTCACTCCTCTATAGTTTATACAGGGTGTTCCTTAAACACATGCTAATATTTAAGGAGGTAATTCTTAGACCCATTTTAAGAAAAAAACTTTCTATGGACGTATGTCCTAAACGCCTTAACTTTTGAGATACAGGGTGGCAAAGTTTTCAAAANAGGACTTTCTTTCAGTTTGTGTCTGAAAGTTACTTCTTTGCATGATCTACACATCCATGTATAGAGTTACTTATTTTCAAATTGATTACTTCCTTCCTTTCTTTGGAAGATTCTCTCATCCCCATTTTTTTGTATCAGATGGAGTAGTAGAAAGCCAAAAACTTTCTTCCTTAAAAAGTTTCATTCCAAAAACGGATATCTTCAAAAATATCCCGTTTCAACTATTTCCTTTTTTCTACTACTAGCGGGGCTATCTAACGTGTTCATTTCTTCCAAGTCTTTGCAAAACAATGCAGCCTCATGGGATAAATGCGTTTCCCCTCATATTTTTCATGACACTCATGTCATCAATCTTACTTACTCTACTGGTGTGTACATGTCCTCTGTTGGATGTATGTCTTATTTTTCTTTGAATAATTCACATTTGCTTAAAATACGACGGACTATCTCTGCCCTTTTGCTGCGTTGCTTGCATCTAAGGTCTCCGTTGTACATCTTCTTTCTCTTCAGATATCCTTCCTCTTAATGGACTGTATCCAGCGAGTAGTCCTATAACTATTAGCCAAACCTTGCCTTTTCGAAACAATTCTTCCTTCAGCTCTATCTTGGATGGTTCCTTCATAAAAGTTTACCCCTTTGTGCTTTCGGATATATTTTCCCAGCGCTCTTTACGTTTTATATAGACCACTCTTTCTCGAAGTGGGTGATAACGCCCCATTGTGGGCGCTGGAGGCTTATAGGGGGCAGTAAAAAACACTGAGAAGATCGTGGGGCGTTAAAGCGGTTTAGTTGGCGATGGCTAATTTAAAAATGATTTTTTGGTTTTAACACGAACTTGCCGCTTCTTTACGCTCAACGCGCGTTTCCTAATGTAACGCCATCTAGGGAACTAGACACTAACTATTTCCTGTCCGATAGTTGTCAAACTGTACAATAGATGGCGGTTAGCGTCAATGCGAAGCGAGAAGTTTCTAGTCTCCATTCTCGAAAGTACTAGGCCCGCCAATCCCGCAATTGTACCCTGAATTGTGGTCCATCGTTCAACGATTTTTGATAGCATTCCCATCATGGTATTTGTGTGAACGTGGATTCAGTGATGTGGCAACCTTGCTAACTAAAAAGAGAAATCGGTTGCAGATTACCGAACGTGGTGACTTACGGCTGTTTTAGAGTAAATTCAAGCCTGATATTAACAAACTTGTTAAAAATAATCAAATTCACCCTTCACATTAGAATAATTATTAAATTCAAATTGAAATGTTTGTTTTAATAACATATGAATGGAAGTTTTCCTAATATTACAAAATGTTGTTTTGCATTACCCTCATCAGAAAGTCTTATTTTTACATGACACACATAATTTAATTATTAAAATAATGACTGCGATTGTGATTCTTAAGATGTGGTAAAGTAAACACATTTTGGGGGCGCTAGAAAATAATCAATTCTCGAAGTGGGCGGTAAAGAAAATAAGTTTGAGAACCTCTGGTCTATATCTTTTGGCAACGCAGTAATGAATTATTTTCCAAGTTGCTGTTCCATAGGCGTACCAAACTGAGAAGGTTCAAAAGTGAAAAATGTAGTATTTATCTCAAACATTTAATGTCACTGCATGATTTGATATGATGAATCTCAAACGACTGTTTGCGAGGAGAAAATCGTTTATAAAAATGTAGTATAACTTTATATCTCGTTTCACGTTGATTTATTTTCTGAATGAGGTTCAGTTCTGGTAGAAAAAATGAAAAACTATTTCACCAGTACCTTGAATTGACTTCAATTCATCTTTCCTGCTATGAAAATGATATTTTCTTTACTTTTTGGTGATTTTCATGCCATTATTGATTCTTTCTAATTTTTGATTCCCTCAATACGTCCCTAATTGAGATGGAAAAAGCGTTTGATGAGCTTGAATCATATTTTAGAGATAGCATTTGATGCAGTTATCCATGTCAATATTTGAAAGATTTTGGTAAAGTATTGTATTGCGTAATGAATTGATCTTTTTCATATGTCCGAACAGAATTTATTAAAATTATTTTTTTTTCCTAAATTTTGATTCCCTCAACACGTCCCTAATTGAGATGGAAAAAGCCTTTGATGAGTTTGAATCATATTTAAGAGATAGCATTTGATGCAGTTATCTATGTCAATATTTGAAAGATTTTGGTAAAGTATTGTATTGCGTAATGAATTGATCTTTTTCATATATCCGAACAGCATTCATTAAAATTATTTTGTTTTTTCAGAAACCTCCGGACATCATTTCTACCCACAGTGAGTTACTGATAAGGTTCAAGAGTGACGATACCATTTCAAGCAAAGGGTTTACCCTCATCTACCAAGTAGTGGAGGTATCTTTCAGTGAAGACGATGATTACTATTTCAGGTGGAATTTGTGAAACTGCTATTCTAAATTCAGTGATCATAATCACATTCAGGCGACATCTGCTTTACAGAGGATAAACTAAAGAATATTCATATTGCATATAAATACTTCGTATCACTCATGGATTCATGACATTCGCAGTGCTGAAGTGATTTTATATTCTATGTCTCACTATGTTTGATCTGAGTCATGATATATTTACTGTAAAAACTATTATTTTAAATTCATCAGTTATTATTACTGGCAGCGGTACTCATTGGTTTAAGAGCGACGATACTCCTTAAGCAAAGAGTTTGCCGTCGTCTACCAAACAGTGGAAGTATATCTCAGTAGAATTTCAGGATTACTGGAATTTGAGGAAGTAGAAAATACTTGTTTAACTTATCAAACTCGATTACACCACAGGCTCCATCTGCTTCACAGAGGACAAACTAAATTAAATAATACAAACATTTTTGTATTGACGGATGGAATAATAGAAAATATTGATCCATTTATTCATGTCATTCTCAGACCTACGTTTGGTTCGTAAGAAATCATAATATATTCATTGCAAAAAATCATTATTTCAAATTCATTGATTAGCATTCTTAGTGACATCTCTATGTGAGGGGATGCACTGTTAACTTTCAAAACTGTGTAATAGATGCAGCAGTGGTTCAACGTTTATTTTGAGTAATTTCTACATATCATTGTTTGAAAAATAGTGAAAGTTATGAAACGTATTACATAATTCTGCACTCAAACTTATTAATGGACTTATTGGACTGCAATGAGACAATCAATTTTCATACACAGACATTTAACAATATTCCTGTATATGATTCCATATGGGTGAAATCCTTTTAGATATTATTTAAAAACGATATAAAAAATTATTCTCATAAGAAAAACTGGATGAGTTTGTATACATTTGTGATATCGAATATATGAGAAAAATGAAAGAGAAAATGGACTATTCTAGATAAACACTTTGTAAATATTACTAGATAATTTATTAATAAATTGTAAATATTTTAATTAAGAACGGCACAGAAATAATGAAATAGCATGCTACAATATACTGGTAGCTCTATTAAAATTTCGATGTGTCGAGAGATTTCCAACTATTTCATTCTTCAGTATAGATTATTATTCTGACTATTGATAACTATATCACCCATATCATAGATTTCTGTTCAAATGTGAATGTCACCTCAATTGCCTGGAATAGAGCCCGTCTGACAGACCGACCCACTGACTGACTGACTGATAGAACCGACTCACTGATTAACTGTCTGACTCAATGACCCACTGACTGACAGACTGACTCACTGACTGAGTCAATTTAATTGACTCACTGTCATACTGAGTCACTGACAGACTGGCTGAGTTACTTGCTAGCTGACTCACTGATTAACTCACTGACTCGCCACTAACTGACGAACCCACTGTCTGACTCATTCACTGAATGACAGTCAGTCTCACTGACTTACACATTGAATGACTCGCTAACTGACTGACTGATCAACTGACTGACTGACTGATTCACTGAATGACTCAAGACTTTCTTACTCACTGATCGATTGACAGACTGACTCAGTGAGTGAGTGAGTGACTGACTGATTCACTGACAGACTGACTCACCAATTGACTCACAAGCTTACTGACTGACTCACTAACTGACTGACTTACTAACCTTCTAATTGAATCGCTAACTGACTCACTGACTGATTGGCTCACTGACTTATGACTGACTTACATACTGACTTATTCACTGACTGACTCACCGACTGACTCACGCTCTCCTGCTAACTTAGTGGCAGCGTATAATAGTTTTCTCCCAATTCTTTAGAGCCTATTCGACCGTAAATGTGTGCTCGCACCTCTTTCTCTCTTGCCCCTACGGTAACGTAACTCTCTCTCTCTCTCTCTCTCTCTCTCTGTCTCTACGTCAAGAATACGGTTTGTGAAGCGAGAAATTGATATAATGAAGATTTGAAAGTAATTCAAGAAGTTAGCTGATCGAAAAGTTCTGAAAACATTTAAATCTTGACATGCAAAAATGTTCCAGTATCCTACATAACAGAAGTAAAGCGGACGAATTACTGTTCTCAGTTCAAAGTTATAATTTTTTGCTAAAATAAGACGAATTCTGATTATAAGATGTGGTAGGTTTAATTATCCTCTTCAATTCATCCCAATCTATTTCATTCATACCACTCTGTTAACAACCATTCAAGCCGATGCTACAAGCAAACTGAATCTCGAACTGGCAAATGTTTAGCAAATCCCATTAGTTGTGAAAAGAGAAAATTAAAAAATTGCAAACTTTGTCCATTAAGCTCGGGTCCCATAAACCACAGATTACCCTATTTAATCAAATATCCCAATAAAGTCCCTCGAGGGCACAACTTCATCCAACTTAAACTTATTCCAAAATGGCGTTTTAAATGAGTTCGGGCGCATAAAAATCGAGTTTTTCGAAGTGGAGCGGTAATAGCGAAATGGAAATTTTGTCGCTGTTACCGCTGAAACTTCAAACCTGAGAAAGTTCATTCAGTGCTTATGCCAGGTTGTAAAGTTTTGTTTTCTATTTCATCAGATGTGTGGGTAGTCAAGACGTTTCACAAAAATTCGATCAAGAGTTGGTACAAATTCGATAACTATACTAAATGCATTTAGAATAGCTTCGAGTCAAACAGCATACAGGGCAGGTCTTAAAACCATTCAATTCGTTCATGAATATAATACCTTCACTATTTAGGCATATCATTATTTTGTGATATTGAAACGGAATTCAAGTATGCATATTTTTCACTAGTTCGGACTTCCATTNGAGCTTAGACACAAGTTAGAGAACTTGTTATAATTAGCAGAACTATACAATCGTCCTAATTTAAATTTCGATTTTCTCACATTAAGATTGAGATACACCTTAGAATAAACTACTTCGTGATCTGACAATCCAGAAGAAAGAACATCACAAGAAACTAGCTCGGAGTCTAAATTAGCACAGAAATAATCTATGGTGGACTCGGTAAATTGAGACACACGTGTAGGAGATTTCACATGCATTACCAAGTTATAAGTTTGCAATAAATTAATTAAGAACTGTGTTGCTTTTGAATTTTGTTCTGTGTAATTAATATTCAAGTCTCCAGTTAAAATAATTTTTGCTTTTGAAGGTAATTCAGAGAGAATAGATTCCAGTCCGTTAAGTAATTGAAAAGGATCACTAGAAGATGATCTGTAAAAACACAGTATGTAAATATTCAAGTTGGAAAGTTTTGTTTTCTACTCATCAGATGTGGGGGTAGTCAAGACGTTTCACAAGAATTCGATCAAGAGTTGGTACAAATTCGATAACTATACTAAATGCATTTGGAACAGCTTCAAGTCAAACGGCATACAGGGCAGGTCTAAAAACCATTCAATTCGTTCATGAATATAATACCTTCACTATTTAGGCATATCATTATTTTGTGATATTGAAACGGAATTCAAGTGTGCATACTTTATTCGAAACTACAAAAAAATTTCTTGTTTTTTTGCAGTATTTTTTCGGCGAGCAAAAAATACCCTGTTGTTGAAAACGTCTACTTCTGAGAATTTTTTGATGAACTTAATGGTGGAAACCGCATATCGATATTTATCATCGTTTCTGAGTTACAGCATGTTTTTAGAAAATGGGCATTTTGCTGTAACTTTTTTTCTGGCAAACATTGTTGCTATGGAAAAATTTTCATAGCTACAGTTGTTACTATGAAATGGTGGTGTAGAATTATGGTGTAAAAAACTTGCATTTGCAAACGCTACAATTCTTATACTTGGGCACAACAAGATCCTCATTTTATTGTGGAACAGAGAAGTCAAGTAATATTTGGATTTAGTCTGGGGGCCGGTGTTTTTGGGAATAGAATTGTNTAAATTGTAGGCGGGCCCTCTAATGCCGTAGGAATAAGAGGGCCCGCCTACAATTTCGTCTTAAAATTGCTTAAAAAATCGTCTGTTGAATTTATGGTACATAAACACCCTGTAACACCCTGTAGATATAAGTATAGACAAACAACACAGTTCGTATCTACCCCTAAACGAGCTGTCTTTCTGTTTCCCTGTCAACCTCTTAACGATAATTCCAAAATCGAACCTTCCTCATCCGTCTATATATTTATATCGTGTAAATGTCGAATTATGTCAGGGGTACAAATACAAATACAAATTTGTTAAGGAGTCTTTCAGTAAATTGTAGGCGGGCCCTCTAATGCCGTAGGAATAAGAGGGCCCGCCTACAATTTCGTCTTAAAATTGCCTAAAAAATCGTCTGTTGAATTTATGGTACATACTTAATTAACACCCTGTAGATATAAGTATAGACAAACAACACAGTTCGTATCTACTCCTAAACGAGCTGTCTTTCTGTTTCCCTGTCAACCTCTTAACGATAATTCCAAAATCGAACCTTCCTCATCCGTCTATATATTTATATCGTGTAAATGTCGAATTATGTCAGGGGTACAAATACAAATACAAATTTGTTAAGGAGTCTTTCAGTAAATTGTAGGCGGGCCCTCTAATGCCGTAGGAATAAGAGGGCCCGCCTACAATTTCGTCTTAAAATTGCCTAAAGAATCGTCTGTTGAATTTATGGTACATACTTAATTAACACCCTGTAGATATAAGTATAGACAAACAACACAGTTCGTATCTACCCCTAAACGAGCTGTCTTTCTGTTTCCCTGTCAACCTCTTAACGATAATTCCAAAATCGAACCTTCCTCATCCGTCTATATATTTATATCGTGTAAATGTCGAATTATGTCAGGGGTACAAATACAAATACAAATTTGTTAAGGAGTCTTTCAGTAAATTGTAGGCGGGCCCTCTAATGCCGTAGGAATAAGAGGGCCCGCCTACAATTTCGTCTTAAAATTGCTTAAAAAATCGTCTGTTGAATTTATGGTACATAAACACCCTGTAACACCCTGTAGATATAAGTATAGACAAACAACACAGTTCGTATCTACCCCTAAACGAGCTGCTTTTCTGTTTCCCTGTCAACCTCTTAACGATAATTCCAAAATC